GTGTGTGTGTGTGTGTGTGTGTGTGTGTGTGTGTGTGCGGTAAAACGATTAGATGCGGGAGGGGAGGGGGGCTGAGCGGCGTCCGCCGAATCCCGTCCACTGTGGCGTACGGGGAGCTCCCTTGTGCCGGGGCCTCCTGCCCCCGGAAGAAGCCCAGCGCGCGTGAGGCCCGCGACAACAAACAACAACCAGTGAACTGGCTCTTCAGGCGTGCGTGAGCGGGGGACGGGGGGCGGGGCGGGGCGGGCGAGCATGCTCCTGATGGCAGGCCGGGGGTGGGGGCCCCCCCGTTGGGCGTCCCCGGCCGGTGGTGTCCTCTTTGGCGCACCACGCTGCAGTGAGGAGTAGCCCCCTCGGGTGGCCGGGGCGGCTCGCGGGTCTCCGGCGGCGCCCGGTGACTGGGCGCGGGTGAAAGCGCCGGCACCAATGGGTCAGGGGGCAAGCAAGTGGGCGGGCGGGCAGGCGGGCGGGGGGGGGGCTAACGCGGTGGCACATCGGGCGGCGGGCGCGGGCCCACGGCGGGTGACACCAATCGGGGTGTGCGTGATCTTCCCTGCGGAGCGCGTGCGTGATCTTCCTTGGCAGAATGTCAAAGTGGTGCGACGGTTCTCCTTTGGTAGATTCCGGTGCACTCTGACCGGCAAACAAACAGACGCCCGCCCGTGGAGAAGGACATTTTCCCCCAACGGCCGAAGGGGGAGGGGGGGCGTACCGCCCCTTCCGCCAACCGCCGAGCGGAGAGGAGATGTGAGCTCGCCCTTCTCGGCCCGAAGAGGAGGGGCCGGGGCTATGGGCGTGGAAGCCGTGACTGGCGGGCGGGGGGGGGGGGGGGGGGCGCCGGGCTCCGACGTTTGCAAGATGGCTGGCCCAGCCCGGCAGGCGGAAGTTCCCCTGCGGGGTTCCTCCACTGTGCAACCCTCGATGTCGCTCTCTCATTGGGGGGGGGGGGGGGGCAAAGGGCCATGACCGGGGAGTGGTGGTACGCCCTTGGTGTCGCCCCTTTGTTCCCTCCGCTCCTACGAGGGGGCGGCGGACGCCGATGCGCCTGGCCGGGGCGCAGGGAGCCTCTCCTTACGGTCGGGGTTTTAGGTGGTCAGGGACCGGGAGGCGGCCAGGGCCTGCCGCGCGCGCGCGCGCACGACGTAAGATGCACACATCACAAAACGTCAGCCAGCCGCCCCGGTCGCCGGCTTCCCACCCCCTGGCTGTCGGCCGGG